AAAAAAAAAAAAAAAAAAAACACATCTTAGTAAAACCAATACCTTCTCAGCTTCGCATCGAAGCTAAAAAAGATTAAATAGGCGTTTTTAATAAAACTTTATTCTCATATAATCTCATTCATTTTCATTTACCATACGTCATCCTAAGCATTATAATAAAATTTGGACATGAATTAACTTTATCTAATAATTATTCAACAGTATTACAATCATTTTCTTCACGCATCAATCAAATATTTAATTTTACACTGGCCAACTCTCATTCATCTTTGATCAATTACTACAGGATGATTTTTGTTAGTGCTTAGATATAATTACGAAAATCAAAGAATAGTAGAATCAAGATATCAAATTATTTTGTGGGACTTCATAAAATGTATTATTATATACTTTTAAATTCAACAATAAATATTTCCTATATATTTTTCGTAAAGCTTTTAAATCTCTAGAATTGGTAATTGATACGGTTTGCAAGTTTAGTAAACTATTAAAATAAGTGTCTGTGTTGACCTGACACTACTAATTCAACGAAATAGAATAAAATCTTTTCTTCTCTGTACTACTCTACTATCATCCCTAAGCAAAGCATCTCGTGAAATAATCAAAAATAGAAGCTTAGTTTATAAATTTTTTAATACAAAGACAATACCTAAAAACTAATCTGAAAATATAAATATTCCTTTGTTCAATTTAACGACTATATTTCTAGTTAGTAGTAGTCTAGTTTATGGTAAGTTTAGGTGTCAAAACAACAATTACATTGCACCATTAAGTTTATTGATACTTAAACGTAGATAAAAAAATTTTAAGTTGACTGTTTATTAATAAAAACCTATACTCTCGTATAAATATTTTTTTGTAGTAATACTGCATATAATTATTTGTATACTGTACTAATACTTAGCAGTTTATGTCGTAAAATCCATCTAAATTATTTTCAAAAACATAAAAAAAGAGAATTTAAAACTAACACAACGTACTATTATAACAAAAAATGTAGAGTAATTAAAATATATTTGCAATACAAATGTTATTAAAAACATAATTTTTAAAGACATTTATAATTGTTAACTCTTTGGCGTAAATGGTTTCTTTTCGACTCATATGATAATTTAAATCTACTTTGACCAATGTACTAAATAATTTCGCTGACTCTTCATTTTCGTAATTTCAACTAAAAAAAAAACTAATTTAGTTCATTTAGTAATTCAGGTTAATATTATTAATGCAAATGCAAAAGCAATTGACTTAAAAATATTGCAAGGATACATGGTTTACACGTACTTTACTAAGTCCTAAAAGTAAGAAATTCNCTAACGTATTTATTTATTTATACGGGCTGAGCCCTTGTGATACAAAATATTTTTTTAGTTACATTAATATATATATATATACACAAAAGTAAAACATAGAGCAAACATAAAAAGAAAAAAAAAACACGAACATTTGTAAAATTAGAAGTAGTATACAATATTTGTGGTATGAGTAACTTTTAAATAATATTGAAAGAGGGGTCCTCATTGGCATTTTTCATCAGGCGTCTTTTGGCTCATTAGACACATAATTGGTGTTGCAGAAAGGGATGAAAAATGGTGAATGATGTCTTGACTGTCTTTGAGGAACTTTGAAATTAATTAAATATAAAATAGATGAAGAGTCCACTTTACCATTTTATTGTATTGTAGTGTAACTCTTGAAATAATTAAATTATACTATTTTTGTGATGAAACGGTTTAATTTATTTTAACATGGGACATTGGTTATCGTATAAGTAACACAATGTTAACAACAAATAGTCATAAAGGGCAATATACCATAATAATTATGGTATAATAATAATAATAATTTTTCTGTTGGACTATGCAATATAATTATTATATTGCATAGTCCAACAGAAAAATACAATAAATAAAAATATAACTAAATTTGGATTATAAATTTAAATCGTCCCTAAATTAGTTTTAAACAATAAGAAGAAAATCGATCGTTTTAAAATAATTAAGTTGTATGTCAGGTTAATATTATTAATGTAAATGCAAAAGCAATTGACTTAAAAATATTGCAAGGATACATGGTTTACACGTACTTTACTAAGTCCTAAAAGTAAGAAATTCATGCTGTTAATGGTGTTACTCTAGACAAAAAAATCTTTTGAGCGAAACGGTCGTACTCATTCCGACGTCACTCAAAATACACAGTCTTATAGGTTTCCATGCTGTTGGCGTTATCCAATTGAAAAGTCTTCAAGTTGTGATTACTTCATGATACTCAAGGTCACTTTTTACACTTAATAACCAGTGCTATTAAAATTAAAAATAACAGTCGAACAATTTTATATTGATTATACGACTATTTACAAGATTATTTTATAACTTATATTAATTAATTTAATATATTTCAACTCTTCAACCATTGATTTGATAGAATAAACGACATCTATTCATATATAATAATTCACTAGTGCTCTCGAATACCCCAAATAAATTTACCGCTAGGCGTTTTAATAATAGACTCTACATTCATATTTATAATCACAATTTATCTAAACACACGACTTTTAGTTAACTAATTTTTCTTATTTTTTAATTGTTACATATTTACGGCAATAATTATTTTTAAAACAGTATATTTAGTATATTATTTTTAAAGTATAAAGCTCCCCACTTGACAAATTATTATAATTTCTTGACATTTTGACAGAACTTAAAGTCGATAAAAATAATGACAAATATCTTACTGTGAATATTCGATGTTTCAGAATAATTGTTCCGATTCATTGAAATAACATATAAATTTAATTTTGACGATTCTCCAATAAAAAATTCAAGCGAATCATACACTCGGTTTCCGCTTAAAACAATGTTCAATGATTTCGATTGCTAAAAGTTTTACTGGTTGATTTATGTAGTTTAATAAAAAATTAGTTTTTTCTTCATATACTAAGTTATTAACGCTTTAAAGTAAAGAATGGAGGTAAAGAGTAGGTACTGTTATTTTTATCACTGGTCATTTCCTGGCCGTATTCTTCGTCCCGCTTAGGTATAAAAGTGAAAATAACATCCAAAGTACTGATTCAAAAGTTGTATCGACCAGTCATTTTCTTAATTAGATCATTTTCTATTTTGCAAGCTAATTTAATATGTATGTTTTCATTAAAAAAATAAAGTTATGTCCCCTTACATTTTACAAAGGATGTTTTTAATAAATTGCTGATAAATCAAGAAATGTATACAACTATAAGAAATCAAAAAAATTATTTTTCAATACTGTATTTATTTTGTGAGTAATTGTATGGTATATGATATCATCTGTATTTACGTTTTTATACGTTTCACAATGATATCTGGGAGAAAAGATTTAGTTATGTCATTAAATGTAGATTTAATTAAATTTTTTTTTAATTTTGCTTGTAAAAACCTATGGTATTTTATAAATAATAAAAATGTATGTTTAAATTATTTTATTTTATAATTATTACATTATTAGTTATACTTATATTATACAATACTTCAGTTAAAATGTTGACCATTGTGTTTATAGACTAAACAAATATTAATGTAATGATATTTAACGAAATTCTCAAAACAAATTTCTATAGAATACTTACTAATGTATTCAGAAACTTATATATTAACAACAATTTATCGTAAATAAAAATAATGTTACAATTTTTGAAATATTTTATAAAAATTTATTAAATAAAAATGTAAAATTGACTATTTAGAAAAGTACTTATATTCTGTTAATTATTATGTTTTAGACATCTAAAGAATACCAACAAGAGTACGATATGAGACGAGGATCTGAGTATTCAAGATTCCATGGGTATACGTATGATGGAGTGTGGACTGCTGCTCTGGCTATACAGGAAGTAGCCCGAAAAGTACATCAGTCGGCTCACGACAAGGGCACTCTGAACAGAACCATAGCAGATTTTCAGTATAGAGATCACGAATGGGAAAACCTATTCCTCGAAGCTTTACGAGATACTAGTTTTGAAGGCGTAACGGTTAATAATAAAGTATACTTATTCTATAATTTGAAATTATAATGTATTTTATATGGTTTTAGGGACCTGTAAGGTTTTATAACAACGAAAGAAAAGCCAGTATACTACTAAAACAGTTTCAAGGTAATTTGTCTTCTTTAATTATTGTTTTGAGTTAAATTTAAGTTTAAAACTTTAAAAGAATCACACTTAAAAAGCAACTTTTTATTATATTATTGGTACTTGGGCGGTAAGAATCAATTTGCTACTAGTTGCTATCAGTGTGGTACACTTCAATTTTGACTCGTGCAAACATATCGAAAAACGTGACGTATGTGTTTTGGGTTAAAGTCAAAAACCGGATACAGTCCAACGTAAAACTAAAGCAAAAGGTAAAACGTGATCGAATTACAAAATATTGACAATATCCGGTAAATGTGACGCAAATAACCGATTATTGTTAGGGTTTAGTTTTCAGTTTCCTATTTGTTTTTATTGAATATCTCGAAGGGAGATACGGCACTGTCATTTTAGACTGTATAAACTGAACTGAGTGAAAACAATGAAAATTTCTTAAATATATATTATGTTTACATACCTATCTATTATATTTAGTAGATATGTTTATAAACATACAGAATGATTATTTTAACGATAGCCTCTCAATTTCTCTTAAAATAATCATTTTGTTTTGCATTTGGTTAGTTACAAATATAATTCCATTTATCTACTATAAAATAAATTTTTGGTCCATCCCTTATAACTTAGAAGGATGTCAACTTCATATTTTAAATGACAAAATATTCATTTAGCATGCTTAATAAAAATAGAAAATTATTTTATTGAGAAAATGCCAATAACAACTTTTGAACCAGTATTATAGAAGGTATTAAAAATTAAAAGTAAAGACTGGAGGTAAAGCGCAGGTGTTGCTATTTTTATTTATACACTCCTCTCCCAANCTTAATAAAAATAGAAAATTATTTTATTGAGAAAATGCCAATAACAACTTTTGAACCAGTATTATAGAAGGTTTGGTATAGAAGGTATTAAAAATTAAAAGTAAAGACTGGAGGTAAAGCGCAGGTGTTGCTATTTTTATTTATACACTCCTCTCCCAACTAGGTAGAAACATATTAATAACTTCTTAAATACTGATTCAAAAGTTTTTATCGACTAGTTTTCCTAATTAGATTTAATTTTTATTCTAATCGAGGAACTTTAATATAATAAAGAGGTTGTTGGTGCCAAAATTTCAAAATCGTGTTTTTTCACTGAAAAATAAAGTTTGATTCTATGCCAACTGCATAGAAATAGAGCTAAGATCTTATTACATTTAATTTAGTAGTTATCAATACGGTAAAATATAATTACTGAAAATGATAACCATTTTTCCGAAGTTTTATTATATCAATTAAAATTGATATAACAAAACATTGGAAAAACTGTAATTGCACAACAAAAAATCAAACATTTTCTACGCCAAACAATATGGTAATAGATTTTGGATAGAATTTTGTCGCTGATTACAAATCTGGTCTTAGTATATTCAGATTGATTCTAGTTTTGATTTATTAATTTAAACATTTTAATTATTTAATTCGAGGTAATTAGTGAAAATTAGAGAATAACGTAATGGACCATTAAAAAAATTGTTTTCGAAAAGCCCTATTTAAAACTGTAATGGATTATATTTAAGAGGTACTTGCGAAATTTGATATCTATATCTTAGATTTAAGCCACTGCATACGTTCTTCAAAGGTGATTTTGATGATCATTAAAAAAATCGAAGCTGAAATATTCCTTGTAACATTTTTTATAACTTTTTAAACCTATAATTGTAAATTTTCTATGGCTAATAGAAAATTTTATAAGGGATTCAATTACAAAAATGCACAATGTATAGTGGCATAAACTTTAAATATTTATTCCAAATTTCACAGATATCTCCTACATACAGCCCATTACAGTTTTAAATAGAGTTTTTTTTATAAGATTTGTTTATTTTTAATGAGTTATTAATTACGTAATTACTTTATTTTTACTAATTGGCAATTATCTTAAAAACTAGAAGCAATCTGAAAATTCTAAAACTAGACTCGGAATCAGTGACAAAATTTCATTCAAAATCTACTATTATTTTGTTTGGCGCAAAAAAGTGTTGTGCAGTGCAATCGTAACTAAATATTATGCTATATTAGGTACTGCTTCTTTAAAATTTTAACTTAACTTTGTACAATTCATAAAAAAATACTTTTCGAAAATTTTACGAGTGGTTAAAAAATGTAGTTACAATGCACATAAATATTTGTTAAAAAATTTACGATCGCTATTTTGGTAGGTTTTTTTTTTAATATTTCAATTTTTTTTTACATTTTGTATCCATGAAATATAAATATATATCATTATTAATAGAGGGTATCTAAGTACTTTCGTTATTAAAAAACTACAATTTTCGGCGTAATTTTTTAAAAAAGTAGTGTGCAGTAACATCATTACAAGTAGTGCGCTAAATCTAACCACTAAATTTTTATTAGACTACTTTTTGCCAATTTTACAACTGATTCCTCAAAATCATAGTATTTGTAGTTCTAACAATTAAATACATAATGAACAAATTAAAATGAGTAAATATATGTTTATTATACTCAGTTATCTTACCTTCATAATGATTGCATTGTAATTTTATACACCATTTAAATTATTTGTTTAAATATTGAAGTTGTTTGAAAACTAAATATTTAAGTTTGAAAAGAGATATATTAAACTAATTTTAAAAATAATAAGGCCATGTATTGGTAAGTATTATGAAGGAATAATTTAATTCAAATAAAAGCCTTCTCTCGTTTTGATAGACTGTCCAATATAAATTTGTTTTTAATTTTTATTATAATAACAAATTAAATATAATTAATGAATTATAAAAATGGTTTTACAGAATTTACTGTACATTAATTTTTTTTTCTTTAAGATCGACAGTAAATACATATATATATTCACTCAAAGAGTGCATGTAGTTTACTATATTATATTACAAGTTATAGCAACTAAATAAAATTAACTAATACAACAATATTAAACTCTTAATGCATATCTTAACAGAGGATATAGAAATAAATGTTTCATGAATACATATATACTTTATAATCCAATATATTTTGATACTAACTGAAATTTGTGTGTTTGAGTCAAATTGTTGTGTATAGTAGTATTATTAAACATTTAATTTCTGATCTTGATTCGACTATAATTACATTTTCTCGGCGATTGTTTGGTTCTGGCGTGTGTATGTCTGACTTCCATGCACAAGAATTCATGTTTTTTTTTGTCATTCATTTAGATGACCCTAGACACATTATGAAAGAAATTTCGTTACACAGAAATAAAAAAAACTGGCATATTATTTTACAAAATTGGATATTACATGTTAAACATGAAAAAGCTCGTGCACACAATAACCTGTCACACCTTGTTTTTCACTAATTATTGATGAATCAATACAGATATTGTGAAACAAACCGGTGGGTTTAAATCGATGGTGTGTTTATGTGTCGACACTTTTCGCGTGTTTAAAAAATGAACTATGCTATACAAGTGTACCATTACACAATATAAGTAGTATTTAAGGTAATTTTACCTATTAAATTCACGTTTAATTTGTTTGTAAATAAAATCACTTATAGGCAATTATATTGATTAATTGTATGTAATTTATCATGTAGGATACCGGCACCAGTCATTGGCAGTTTCCCAGTCTTTGGCAAATTTCATATATTAAATGTCGTAATCATTTTTTAGGTTTTAAAAATTATTTATTACGTCTTGAACTCGTTTGCCAAGAGTTGGTTAGTGTGCCAATGACTGGTGCCGTAACCTTACTTATATTTAATGTTTCGTTTTTTAGGTTTTAAATAAATTAAGAACTATGCATATAATTCATTGTGCATTATGTTTTAAGAAAAGATTATGTGATTTCATAATTTATTATATCATATATTTAAAACAGTAAACTAACGAATCATTATTTAATAATTAAAATGGTTCCTATTAAACAAACTAAAGAATACCAAAAAAGTAATTTACAAGTATTTTTTCAGGATTTTTTGATAAATCTTGAAACTTTTAATCTTTTAAATATATTGCCTTACTTTTCTTTAAATAATTATTACAGTTTTGGACTACGTGAAAATCATATTTTTTATTATTTATTTTTAATAATAATAAAAAAAAAAAAAAAAGNATGTAATTATTCAGCTATCTCTAAACTGACTTTAATGATCATCACGTCAAAAGAAATCGATTTCAAAGTATTTAATCAATACCGAACATTTGAAAAATCATATCAATTTTAGTAATATTAAAACATATTTCTTAATTATACTACAATGAAAAATAGAATTTTTAACATTTTTTTCTTCATTTTAAAACTGTCGAATTTTTTTTTTAACTGATCAAAATAAAACTTTATAGAGACATTTATCTTTTTTTGGTATAATTTTTACAGAAAATCCAAAAAGAAACTTAAGTACATGAAGAGTTTGAAAGAGACCACCCACAAAAATTATATATATTTTTTAACAATAGTATTGAAAGGTCCCGGAAGGTCTAACAACTTCTAGCCTATATCAAAATAAAGCTTTTGAAATATACAACAATATCAATAAAAAAATTTGTCTCTATGATTATTATACTATGAGAAATCAGCCGCTAAGCAAAAAAAATAACATTATGTTCTATTAGGCAAATAATTTTACAATCATTTAATATTCAAGTAAAATTTTAAATCATAGACATTTAAAAAGTATAAATATACAAATGATGAAATTTAACAGATTCGCATTGAAGTATTCTCCATGGCAGTGATGTTAATAACTATTAGATATCATCTCTACTTGTCTTAACTTTATCGCAACGCCCATTGTTCTGAGTCATTAAAATTTCAAAATAAACTTTTTTTACAGCTTTCCTTATAAAAATTTTATTATTTTTATTAATAAAAACAAGTAATTAAAAATATTATTTTAATTGTGTCTAAGAATGCATAAATTACAGAAAAAAAATACGCTATAAATAGCGTCATAATTATAACGTTTAAAACAAAAAATTTGTCAAAACGTAATCATAAATATAATAAATATGTGATATTAATAAACGTAAAATTACACAAATCACAACTTATAGCATAAAACGATTCATATTGAAACAAAAATAAATTAATATCAAATCTTATATTTAAAAAAGTTTTATGTAAAAAAAAGTAGTCATATGCTCTTATTAAAAACTGCTTATGGTGGTGAACTATATTTTAAACTCGTTTAACGTTAATCGTAAAAATATAATAATTTTAATACTTAAAACGAAACCAATTGAAGAACGGTATAATATTAAAAAGTAAAACATAAAAATTATATAACGTTTAAATGATTAATAACGTTATACAACATTTTTTTTAGTTCGACTCTTGATGAATTACTTAAAAAATGTAGAAATGCAAAATATTTAGTAAATCTTAATTTCTTTAGATATATCAAAATATTGTGGACTGCGCTGTATGTGTGTGTTTTTTAGTGATTTACTTTAAATGTGTATAATAATTTTGACTTCCTGTATAAGGCTTGTTAATATTTAAATAAAATTTTTGTATAAAATTACGAAACGCATACTGTGTGCATTTTGTATAGTTTGGTTTATTAGGACCTTAACTCATTTAATTAATTTTTTTTGCTAAGATTCCGAAACAGTAGCTGAAATACAGAAATAATAATATACTAACTTTACAATCATAAAAAATGTTTACTTGTTGTGAACGACGTTAAAAATTTAAAAACAGCGCCATTTTATAACAATTAGTTTGCTAGTATTTGTTCTGTGACGGCGCTGTGAGTATGCAATGTAATGGCATTCAGGGCTTGCATTCGTAATGAGTTTCATTCCATCGTCTTATTTTTAGCCAAATCCTTTCGCAACCATATTGGTGCAAAGTTTTATTATACACTAGAAAGAATGATACCAGCAAGGGAGGATCTTATCATTTTGTTTGCCAACGGTAATAATAATTTTAAAATATCGTTTGCATAAAACACAACATTACGTGTATTTTTTTACACGTTTTAATCAAATAACCGTAAGTTTATCTAAACTTTTCCACGTGCTTTCTCTATTCCTATTTTATTATTGGTGTATAGGGACTATCATTATTTTCACGCTGCAATATTATAATATAACTCGCTCTCAAAAACTTTTATCTTATCGACCTACGCCAGAGACTTCCAAAGTAAAACATGCCGCCTTTAGTACTTACTTGTTTTAACTACACATAGCGGTTTGCTGATAAATTAATAATTTATAAATTATAAATATTAATTTATTTAGTGTATTCATCGTGCTTTATCTATGAAAAAATGTATGCATTTAAAATATGTATACAAGTATAATTCAATCAAAATATTGAATGTTTCTAACTTTCTAGTAAATTAAACAATAAATAAAATAAAATTTGTAAAGCATAATTTAATAACGATCGCATTTGTCAACTTTACACGTCATTCTAACCATTAAAAGCGCTATTGGTTGAACTTTTCTTTGAATGATATCGCCAAGATTTGTTTGTTATATATGTGTATAAATAAGTTTTTAATGGCTTAAACAAACGACGATAACAATTATTTATCTGCAACAAATATAAAATAGATAACTTAGTAGGAAATAACTGTTCTAGACATACTTTAAAAATATGATTACTGAAGGGAATTATTTACAAGGAAGTTTTTTGTCACAATTCATTTAATGCTCAGGACATTTTTCTGCAATATTCAGTCGATAAGGTCATACTTAAACAAATGCTTTTAGAATTATTTTTTGTTATTTTATCAAATAATAGAGTATCAATATTTATATGAAAAAACATTGACGTGGGAAAGACTGAACAAATTTATCAAATTACCGAACGAAATATCTCGTAGAAGTTAATAAATTAAACATAATGATTTTTTAAACTATCGCAAACGTAAGATTATAAGAGAGAAAAGCTAGTACACGTTTTTGAAGTCAATAATGTTAACAGAGTGTATTTTTAGTATTATTTTGTTGTATAAAACGTATAATATGATAAGCCAACAATTATTTACAACAAATATGTGGTGACATGTTCATTAATGACTTAGCTGTTAATTATTTTATCATGATCACAGAATTAGCGCAATTATAAAATTCTATAAAAAGTTTACAAATAAATTCTATAACAGTAACTCTTGCTTAACAGTGAACAAAGAAGTCAAAATTGGCGAATACAATGGAGTAACGGGCACGCTAGATCTAAGTGTAGGTAAAGAAGTCAAATGGAGAGCTGGTGGTAAAGGTCCCCCTAAAGACCAAACGCTTACCATTTATGAAGATTCACATGTTAACGTGGCGGTCTATATTGGGCTAGCAGTAGCTGCCATCATTGGTATTGTTATTGCTACGGCATTTCTAATCGTGAATATAAAATATAGAGACCAAAAGTAAGTTATTTACATAATTAATAACTCCGTTGTCAATAATTCTGAGTAAACTATTGGCCACTCAAATAATTTAAATAATAAAATAGATGGCAATGAAATTGAGTTTATCGTAGTTTAACGTTCATAAATGATTAAAAACTGAATGAACTATTGTTTTTTTTTACACATTTGATCGATCTAGATTATATATTTATTTAATATATATGCTCATTATTCGTTGCAGATACATAAAAATGTCAAGTCCACACTTAAATAACTTGATCATAATTGGAGCCATGCTGACATATAGCAGTGTTATTTTCTTAGGTCTCAACAGTAGAATGACAAGCATTAATATGTTTCCTTATATATGTGCAGCTAGGGCATGGCTATTAATGGCAGGGTTTTCTTTAGCATTTGGAGCAATGTTTTCAAAAACTTGGAGAGTACATTCAATTTTCACCGATATCACTATAAATAAAAAGGTAAAATATAAAAGAACCTATGGAATATTTATAATAATGAAACTTCATAAAACCAATAATTTACTATTTGTTTTTAAAAAACAAACTTATTGCCAATTTACATTTAAAAAAAAATATCAATAATTTTAATTGTTCTAAAAAAACATTCTCATCTACTTGTATGGTATTATCTTGTTCAATATAATTTAACTGAGAAAAAATTCAAAGAGACATTTACATACTTTTTGATGTTAATTTGTGATTAGACAAAATTATATTCTTTAAAGATATGATAATAAATTGTATGTGATTTAATATTGTATATTATTATTAAATTATAGATTGTAAAAGATACTCAGCTATTTTTAATGGTTGGAATACTATTGTGCATTGACTTAGGAATTATGTTCACGTGGCAATTTTCTGATCCATTTTACAGAGAAACTAAACAAATGGAACCATATGTGAGTAAAAAAATACAATTTACAGATTAAATAAATGAAATGATAGTCCTTGTGGGTTATTTGAACAAATTTCTTGATCAATTTTAACAAATATGCAAATATCATACATAATTGAGTATATTTGAGTAGTTTTTAGTACAAACAAATATTAATTCAAAAATTATACTTTATTTATAGCAAAATCTAGGAGAATTTTTCAAATAATGTGTTTTGTGTTTATCTATTTTAAAAATTACCAAATTAAATGCTTGAGAAAAAATTTGAAGTACAAGCATATACAGGGTGGGTTTTTTAAAAAAAATCATCTTGTAAAAACAACAAAGAAAAAATAAAAACATACAAAATAGGCTATAATAGAAAAAGTAATGAAAGGACCTTTTGTTAAATGAACATCTAATAAAAAGTTTGATGTTGTGTATTGTACTTATTTATGAAAACGAAGGATAAAGTAGTAGAAAAAGATAAATGTTGGAAATGTAGGGATGCAATGAAAATGTAAATTATAAATAGTAATAGTTAAAGTTAATTAATAATATAGTCAGTTTAAAAACCTACTGACTTAAGTTATATTGGATAGAGTAAACTGGGGTAAGAGTTCAATAAATTATTTTTAATAAGTATTATAAGGTAGATTGATAAATATCAAATATTTGATCATATTTACATGTTTTTTTCAATTGCTGTAAATCATAGAGTTAAAATTGAATATATAATATAGTATATAAAATTTGTAATCTTATGTATTATAATTCACTTTTTAAAAATACTATGTTAAGCTTATGAAATAAATGATAAGACTTGAATTCTTTTTTATTAGATATAGAATAATTTTACTAATCAACATTGAGCGATGACATAATTATATTTTCGCATACAATTTTTTTCATCTAATTTAATAAAAAACATTTGATTTTGGTTAACGTAACTCTGAAAGCTTACATTTTATACTTATTTCGAAATAAATGAGGTTTATAGTACATAGAAATGTTATGCAAAATCAATCTTAAATTATAAGGAGTAGGGGAGAACATAATTACTAGAAGAGCAAAAAACAATTATTCAATTCTTTATTATTTATTATTTCAATTTTAAAATAAATATTTAAAAATCTTATCTGTATACTGTTTATCGGGATACGACGAGTATAAAAAAGCTGACGTAAATTATTTTACTTTAAATGGAAGTAAGAACATCGATAAAATAATAAAATAGAGAATGTAAGATGGCGGCGAATATTTATAAATGTATTAGGCGTGATTACACAAATATTGGAGCAAAAACTAATCAAACGAAATGTGTTAATACTTAACTGAGGAAAATACGATAAAAAGCTCTATGTGGTGTTAAACAATTGGCTATTCAGACGCGAGAAAACAGTGTAAAGGCGAATCGAATATGTATTGGTGAATAGTGATAATCGAAATGCGACCAAATAGGTGGTACACGAGAGGAATGGGAGGAAGGAGAACAGGATGATAAACTATTATTATCTACCCATCATAAAAATGAAATGATTTTAATTTTAATAGCAACAAGCAATATCATTAAACTAATTGGTGATTTTTTCTCTGCAAAATACAAATACCATTATAAACTTCTTAATGGAATTAACTATAAAACACTTCAGTCACTTATATTAAGCATAATACTAGCTACATCACAATAATGTACCATTTTCGAATGTCTTTAGCGTAGATTCTAGGTATATTAATCACAAGATAAATGATACTCTTCTGTACATTTATAATGATATAATACAATATTACACGTGCCTTATTGTTTTTGTCGGGTTATAATGAACACTTAAAGTAACAGAGTATTTAAAATATAATAAAACATAGTAATACTATCTTTATTTAGACCATTTCAGAAAACTATTTTCAAGATACAATATAAATAGCTCAACATATTTCTTTGGTTATATTAGGTTGTAACTACGTCCGTGAAGTAGGTTTCTAGACATTTTAGTAAATTTCACAAAGTTATTTTGTTTTTGTAAAGAATGAAAATTTCTCTCGTATTTTATGAGCGTCTCCATATTTATATATATAAAGCCATTCAAGGCGAATTGATGACAATGCACGACAGACAATGTTGTATTATCAACTCGATTACATTGTCCCTTTAAATTCAAACATCAGGGATTTTTTTATTTTAAATTACTAATTAAACTTAAATAAACTACTAAAACTGTTTTAGTTTAATTTGAATTAAATAAACTTAATATCAAAATAAATTGAATTAAAAAATGTTTATCTCTCTTTCGATTTTTTTACTCTAATATGCTTTAATATCGTAATTAATAATTTCTCGAGTTTCAGTTCCATAAAGTTAAAAATTTCTCATACAAACGCAGTCATCAAAAATCTATGTAATGAGTTGCATATCCTTATTAAATTTTAATATCCCTATAGTGTAATATTATTTCTCTAGACCTTATTGTTCGGACAAAATCCTGCGGGATTACCATAGGAAATACTTGGCTTACGAATACACGATGAAGAGTTGATTGTCATTTAAACTTTTAAATTCACTGAATAATACAGCAAAGGTTATGCTGTAGATACGTGAAAGCCATCAGGCGCCATTGCTAAAAAAGTTTTGATAATCTATCGGATGTGTCTGAGGTTTTTGAAGGATGGACATTTCAAATACATTTCACAATAATTTCCTGTCAAATAACAAAGAAGAAAACTGCAATATATTGATACAGATACATTTTATTTTACCATTTTCACATTTTATATTATTTCTTTTTGAAACGTAATATTTTTTTAGAATTCATTACTATTTGCTTTCTAAGGAACAATATAAAAATATCACGATACCGTAATATCTTTAAACTGTAAAATTTTAAATAAACGAATCATCAAATTAATCGATATTATGTTTTCATTTTTATGTAACTAATAAATCAGCACACATATAAATATTAATATAGACAAGCCTTTACACACTAACATTTGCTGAATGATAAATTCGTTTGAATTTCTACGGCATTTCATTTGAACTCTATAAGTTGTATATTTTCACCCTTATTTCAGTTAAGCCACGTAAAAATAAAACATTTATTTTTTACTCATACACATACATACCCTTTTATGATGGTATAGAAAAAATATTGTGTAATTTAAAAGTAATATGCAAATAAAAGCAAACTAATAGCTCCTATTTTTTTTTTTATTATTATAAATAATAAGTGTAACGTATTTTTACAGCCTCATCCACATAATGACGACATTGTGATCATACCGTGCAATGAGTACTGTCAAAGTGATCACATGACAGTGTTCCTCGCCGTCATTTATGTGTATAAGGGGGCGTTAATGGTAAGATAAAATGCTTTAAATTGTATTTTATATGTGAACTTATAACATATTTTATAGGTATTCGGAGCTTTTTTGGCCTGGGAAACTCGACACGTGAGCATACCTGCACTTAATGATTCCAAGTACGTAGGTATGAGTGTCTACAATGTTGTTCTTATGTGTGTTGCTGGTGCTGCCATATCGTTTGTTCTAAGTGACCAACAAGATGCGTCATTCATTATCATATCGGTTTTCATACTATTTTGTTCTACTGCTACCCTCTTTTTAGTGTTTATTCCTAAAGTAAGTATCTACAAATATAGTAAAACTTTATCGTAAATAAAGTGTCTTTACATTTATTTTTGTTTATCTATTACTATGCTGTGTGTTAATAAATATACAGCTTAAAAGAAAAACGAATTTTAAGAAGTATATAATAAAGATATTTCATAAAAAACATGTACTAAACCGAGAAGTTTATGATGTTTTTTTTTGTTCATTAAAGACATCTGTACATTACTAACCTACTTTCATGTGTTGTTATACCCTTGAATGTTATGAAAATCTATGATCTTTAATATCATTATATACAAGTTCAATGTCATTGAAATTTGTTTAACTCAAAACTATCCGAAATTAGTAAAGCTAATTTCAGTATATATTAAAATCTGCAATTTATAAATATCACAGAAATAAATCGCTTTGGTACGAAATAAAGATTTTAAAACAACCTAATATAGATTTTTAAAAGTATTATTGAATATTAATTAACAATTTTTGAAAGAAATATATTCAACGAGATCAAATTCGAGTTTTAGCTTCGATGCGAAGCGGAGAAGGTATTAATTTTACTATGATGTGTTTTTTTTTTTTTTTTATGTCTGTTGCCACTTTTTCTCAGCTCTCACTGGACCGATTTCTTTCAAAAATACGTCAAAAGATCACAATTTGTATCTCATTGAAGACATTACCCTTAAAAATTGAAAAAAATTCCCTCGTTTCCCGCAATTTGGGGAAATATGCAAAAAAATTACAAATTTAAAAATTGCTAATTTTCGAAATTTTTTCACTTTTTTTTCTTAAAACTTCCATAACTTTTTGAAAAATCAACAAATCAACATAATTTTTTTTTAACTAAAACCTTAGATATTTCCCTTTTATTTGATATCATTTTTTTGAAAATCTAACACTTAACCTGCTCATTGGGGGAGATTTAAAATTGAAACTTTTTTACAAAAACTAACTTTTTCAACTTAATTTTTGAAAATGTTCCGGAAATACTGCGTCCTTTAAAGATATATCAAATTAAAGCTTATTTTATGTACTATAAAATGGAAAAAAAAATTTGTCCCGACACTCTATCTTCTACATTTAAACTGCTGCTGTAGTTAAAAAGACACTATTTCTTTTTAAAGTAGTAATAAAACAAAGGAGAGCTGACTATGGTTAGTGATGGACATAAAATTTATTTTTTTAACTAATATATCACAACGAAATATATTATATCAGTTAAACATCGAAGCTACTTATCGATACTTCAGAAAATAAAAGTCTTAAGTTCATTATTTTATATTTTTTTAATTTTAATCAAATTTATAAAAACTTTTACTTTTAAAAAAAGTATAGTAAAGATTTTATTTAAATAATACACTTGTTTTAATTTAAATATTCATTCTTTTTAGATCGTAGAGTTGAAGAGAAATCCTCAAGGTGTAGATAAACGAATCCGAGCAACGTTAAGGCCTATGTCAAAAACGTATAAGGATATTTGTGATTCAGAGGAACAAATCCGAGCTCAGCGAAATAAAAATCAGCAATACAGACAACAGTTGTTGGATGTCGATCGAGAGATTGATGCAATGGTACTGAAGATCGACACATATCGTGCTCTTAAGCTATCTGAACAAAGTAAATTTGACTTTTTGATTAATTTTATTGTTTTTTCTCATAAAAATTTTCAAAGTAACCCTTAACAAAGTTCACTCCAGTAATTTTTGTTTGATTTATTTATTTTTGTTCAATATTTTCTAGAACGAAAAGCTTTAGAAGAAAAGCAAATCAAAGTAGAAGCCATTCAAGAAGAATCAAATAGCAATATCGATTTATTAATCGAAGAAGTACCTCCAGAGAAGTAAATATATTAAATACTTATTATTACGATAGTTAATTTCATATAGTTTGTACATATATTTTTTATAGTGATTTAATTTGATTATTATTACGTTAAATACTTATTAAAACTACTGTTAATTTAATGTTGTTTAATTTTTTTTTATCAAATTTCAAGGTTAGCATTAATTTTCTTAACCTTATTTTACAGAACATCGTTTCAAAGACATACAAGAATACCGTCAATATCTGTCGAACAGCCTTTGTCATATTGTGTAGAATCTTCAAGACCTATAACATATACACCATCACCTACTCGGGTACTTGTATACATAAAATGCATTAGCGTATATCAAACCCAATTGTGTTTTGGAGAAAATACTAAAATTTTGGAATATGAGTTTCTGTTTTACTAAAATTCTTCATACTTTTAATATTTGAAAAAATTTAAATTAGACTATTTAGATATAGAGTGTTTAGTAATTAAGGAAACGGGTTTCTATTGTTATCATTACTAGTAATAATTGACCTGTTTTCATACTTTTTGAACACTTGTAAATTTTTTTCCTAGCCATCACTATTGTAGGTATAATAATAAAACCAAAAATTGACAAAAAAAATATTTGACATATTCAATAGTGGCCATTGAAATTTATGCAGATTTTTAGTAGGTTATTTACCTTAGATGTTGTAACACGTCGTTTTACAATAAAGTGATAAAAGTATCACACAAATGAATTGATTTTAAACATGGACAAAATATAACTACAATAACAGCGTAAATCAATTTTGAAAATATAAAAAAATGTTGGGTTTAGATTATATTGTAAAATTGAAAAAAACTAAAACATTTTCAGACATAACAAAACTACTCTAAAAGCTATGTTAAAGAATAACAAACACATTACTGAAACTCATTGGCTTTCTTAAATAGATATTTTTTGTGATTTTTCCAATCAACCAAAAACACCAACCCTACTTTATCAGGTTTCTTAAGTTACAAAAAAATAAACATTAAGTCCTATAGCAGTTTTTCATAATTTTTAAACTATTTAATTAACAAACATTATAAATTGATAATACAATAAATAAAAAAAATATTTATGCATATTGTTTATTTTTCAGACGTGTCAAAGGCGGTCAAGTTCTTCAATGGCGCCAGTTATAGGATGTAACCATAGAAGGCCGTCAATTCCACAAGCCAAAAAGACCTGTCAGCAGCCTACATTTGTACACCAAGACGAGCTCTGGTTAACTCAGACACAACGTCACGCCAACCGGTCGCCACCGCCAATCACGAGAGGTTTGCTCAACAATGTCGATTCACCGACTGATGACGGTAAAAGACCATGCCATTAAAATTTAATTTCATTGCTAATTTTTACCATAAATTCAACAATTAGACCACTATAAAACATTTGTTTGATATCCATAAGCGGATTACTTTTACCTTTTTTGGGAGGTAATCTACTGTTTGATAATACTAATATTTTAACATTTTTAAATGATAATAACAGTAAAAGTATTACTACTATATCAATTGAAAAGATTTAAGCTCATCTAGATGACTATTTATGTTGGTTTTAAACTTTTATGTTATACTCTTTTTACATGCACTTGGGCTATTCATATTCAAAGAGATAATTATTTATGTGAGGTATCTTAACCCTCAGAACTCTTCTTAAATATATTACCGATAGTCCATGAAGTTCGTCAAAAAATGTTCATTGGAAAAAGAAAAATGATTCAGATTCTATAAAAGTTACCCTGATATGATAAACCTAAAACTTTAGTAATCTGTTAGTCTTAGACAGAAAAGTAATTTTAATAACTCGTTACAGCACACAAAATTATGTAGATTAATTCATTTTTTTAAACGTGTTACGTTATTTCCTTACGCTTTTAGTGACCAGAGCTGTTATTTCTTTATTTTTGACATGTAATTTATTTAACGTTGACTTGAATAATCTTGAAAACTAGCAAATTTTATCGATTTAAAGTAATAGACTAGTACAACATTATTATTATCATTTTCTTAATTTTATAGAAGAAGACAGTTCATCTTCGCCAACTGCTAGTACAATGCACCGATCGGTGTCCGAGAAGAGTTCGTCCAGAAGTCGGGGCCCGGGACTAAGGCGTCCTTCAGCCCCTCACATGCACAGTACACCCAATGTCTACGGTCGATGGCGAGAGTCCGGTTCTGGCGGCGAATCGCCTACGGACGCACCATCTGTAGGTGGTTGTCACTCCAGATTACCTCCTTCAGCCGCCTCTGGCATGTCTCGCGTAAATACACTGTCCGAAGGTGAACTACTTGATGTTGCCATATTACCTATTTTCCAAAAATTACTAACTGAAAGGCGAGCACATAAGTCAACATTACACCACCATCATCATCATCGAGCATCGATTGCCTCTTGCCCAAACATTGCGGTCAAATGTGATATTGTTGAATATTTATAAGAATTTGGACCCATAATAAGTTAGTTAGCAAGAAGAGCAATACTACGAATATTTTAAAGTTATAAATATATAGTATTATAGGGTGTTCAACAAGTAAGGGAACAGGTAAATTGTTACAAACAATGAGAACAATAGAAACCCGTTTCCTGACTTACTGAACACCCTGTATATATGATTATACTAATTATTTATTATGTATATAATATATACATATTAAATAGTTTTAAAATGAGTCTGATGCACGTTTATTCAATAATTTTTTTAGAGAGTAACCTGCCTATGATGTTGGGACCAAAAGACGAGAAGATATTCAAATACATTAAGTTGGCCGTATACGAGCCTGTAAAAATAATTTTTTTACCAAACTACTACTTAGTACTGTAATATTACTATTATTATTGTCATTATTGTTGTTTTAACATTTTAAGAAGTATAATGTGTTACTATTTTTTTAATGTTATTAATTAAATTGCAAGATCTACGATTTGTAAATTAAACATACATACATAAATACTTATCAAAGACAAAAATGTTAATAATTACATTTAATTTAAAATTATATAATTCTGATAGTTATATGATTATTTGTTAATATTTCAATTGGTTAAATGACTTTTGAATTTATTTAAAAATAAAATAGTTCAATTTATTTAACATCAAGTTTTGGGAGCATAACTTTGTTTCATCTCTAATCTATATAAAAAATTGTTCCAGCCATTATCTTTTTTACATATGTTTAAAATCAACCTTATCTATAAAATTATGCAAAATAGCTCTATGATTATCAAATTTTTTATTTATTATATAGAATGTAATTTTGGACAGCATAACTTTATTAATCTCTGGTAAAATTAAAAATTTAATAATGGGTCACATTGAAACTTTTTTTTTACAAATACTTAAAATACTATTTTGTAAGTTTTCGCAATTACGCATTACCACAAATGTGGTGAATAATTTTCAAATTTATATAAAGATTCAAGCAGTAAAAAATAAATTAATAAAATATTGGAGAAATGCTTTAAAATTTAAACTAAGGCAATTAGATATTAAATTTTATATCATATATATTTCATACATTTTGGTAGAGCCAAAGACTCAATTTGAAAAGTAACTCATAATAATATAAAACTATTGAAATCATTTATAATTGGTAAATAAGTTAATATAAAATTAAATTGTAAAAATTAAATTTTATATTTTCTATGTATTTAAATATTTGTTATTTATTCAATACCGTCTCTTTACTTGTTTATAAATAATTTAATTTGAGTCTTAATAAATCGATTTAGAAATTTTTACAAATGAAATTTCGATTAATGTATGATAAATTATTAGTTTTTCATGTGACTTATGCCTACTTGTGCTTAACACAATTTTTTTTATTTTAATAGAATTTTGAACTTTTTAATAAAATTGTTTCAATTTGAACCTCGTAAAATAACACGTAATAAGATTGTAATAACATAATTTTTATGCTACTTGAGTTATTTAGTTAATTTTAATAATTTGTAATTTTTTTTTCAATTAAAAGCAATTTAAATAAATGCTCTCCTTATTTTCGCTATTTACCTACAGCTGGCGAAATTGGTGATATTATTTATAATATATCCTAAGTACTTAATATATAAATGAATGTAAAATTTGTACATATTGTAATATTGTTGTTAAGTAATTTGTTACGAACATATAATACTTTGGTGGACAGTGTCCAAAAAGAAATAAGCAATCTTAGGACAATCCTCCGGAATTCGATTTATTACTTGCCTTACTTGTACTGTTTTTCTGATCCTTGTCAATTTAGATTATTAAAATATTATTGTTTTACAATGCATGTTTTAATTAATTACCATAATTTCTGGCTATCCTAACTTTAAAATTCTTTTAAGAGTAGTTAAATTACACAAAATAATAGATTTAAATTTATTAACTATGGTGTTAGTTAGGTTGGGTTGTATTAAAAACAATCGAGTATCAACAAATCTAACTATGTATTGGTAAACAATTAAACTAATATATTTTAAATATATTGTTTTAATAAAGGATAAAGATTTGTAAATTTTCATTAATATAGTATTAGCAGTCTTGAAACCCTGAAATATTCAGGGTACTATTTACTAAAGTAAGAATCTATCTGTTTACATAATAAATATACTCTAAAGTAATAAGATCAGATCTTTTTAATTCAGATCGGTATTTTGCAGCATATACGATGAATTTGTTTTTTAATGTAAAGTTGTTGTACACAAACAAATTGCAAATAATGTACAAATAATTACGAGGAAAAATAAAAAATAAAATGTAACAACTGGAGATGTTGCAAACTCTAAAAATCTAACAAGAATGATTGATAATGATCAAGGTTATAATTTATTACATAATGTAAAAAACTCACCTTTGCATTTAGCCGCTGTGAGAAAAAACACTTTTGCATTGGTTAGACAGTTAGGTCATCCTATTATATTTTTACACTAAGTCCAAGTGAGTCATCGTGGAGTTATTTATTCGAAATATTATATAAATTACGCAACAAAGTTGAAATATCTGACGAATTTACCGTATATAGAAAAATCAAGTCTGATAAGAGAAGATCATGTCGTGTGTGTTTAATATTTTGATCAAAGATTTAGAGCTCTATTTAATTTAATAAAAAATAAAAACGGGATTTTCTAGGAACATCCAGTTTATCATTATTTCTACCATTTTGAATATCAACATTGTAGGAGTCCTCACGTGCACATGATTTTATGGTTTAAGAACGCGCCTCACTTTGATTCTGCAAAGCCAGAAACATTTGATGCCTGTGTTAGATTTATAAACAAAAATATAGAATGCATGGTTTCCGAAGATAGTCCTGTAAATGTTTATAGTAAATCAAATCAAACTCACCGTCATACGCATACGTGCTATAGAAGTGCAAAATACAAGGGGACAAACAAGTGTCGATTTAATATACCTTATCCCCCGAAGAAAGAAAATTGCATATTATCATCCATAACACCAGAAACTTGTTCAAACTATAAGTTTTAATTTAGTATCTAAGAAATTATAAATCTTCCGAAAACTTAACTCGAGAAGAAATTTTGCATACATTACAAATAACATCATACAACGAATATAAATCTATTATAAGAACAGACATACAAAATCCAACGGTATTTTTAAAAAGAGTTATAGCACATCGTATGGTATCTAGGTTTAATAAAATTTTACTTCCCTTATGGGAGTCTAACATGGACATTCAGTTTATTTAGATACTTCTTCGTGTATGAAGTATGTTATTGAATATATAGGAAAAAGTCAACGAGGTATATTTAAGCTTCTGAAGGATATAGTAGAAAGCTTAAATACATCATTCGACATGTCTGTTAAAACTCAGTTATGGAAAATTGCGTCATCGTTTTCTGGAAGTCAAGAAATATCTGCTTAAGAAGCAATTTATACTTGTTTAAGAATCAAACAATCATGTAATTAGTAAGGAGAGAATTAAGATATAGACATTTTTATGAAACTCATAAAACCGTTGGAAATTAGTTTTCAACCTGGAGTTATGCATCTATGGGCAACAAATAAAGAGGTGGACGATATGAATACGAGATAATTAAACAGTTTAAACACTACTAGTTTTGTATCTGAAGCAATGGATACAACAGGGAAAAAAGTTGATATTATTGCTGTAAAGAAACTTCCAAGGCATAAAACTATGGAATTGCCTAAAACAATTATACTAAAGGTAACAGGGAAATACATGATTGTTACAAATAACTGTACAGAAGACGGTATTGTTAATGAAGCTATTGGCGAACTGATGCAAATCAACCGTACAATAACTGCTAATGGTAAAGAAGTTGCTCATAGAGTGTGGATGAAATTTGATGAACCAGAAGTAGGCTAAATTACAAGACGAAAAGTTAAAGGAAAGTTGTCACCTCAAGGAGAAGTATCCGACGACTGGTCTCACTGGACACCTATTGAAATTACGCACTTGGAATTTTAAATTGGAAATTCAGAAAACCATAAAGTCGCTAGAACGCAATTACCTTTAGTCGAGGCATTAGCATTAACTGTTCATAAATCACAAGGTGCAACATATGTAAATGTTGCATACCATGTACTTAAAAAGTATTTACTGTGTAATATGATTTATATAGGATGCAGTAGAGCAACATCAGCCAAGGGCTTATGAATAGACCATTTTCTATTTAATTCACCTAAACCATCTTCAAACGTCAATGCTGAAATGACTACAGTCTTGTAAAATAAAACCTAAATGTTCATTTTTAACATCAGACAATCTGTCGATATACCATATATATGGTATTGTGTTTCACACAATATAAGATCATTAAACAAATATTTCGAACACATACTTGCTGATAAAATATTATTAAAATCAAATACACTATTTTTCTAAGAAACTGGAACAACAGAAAATGATTTTTATAACATGGAAGGATTCACAGAGATATGTAGGATCAACAAAGTGCATGACAATGGCAAAAGTGGTTCAATATGTTTTCTAAATAATAATATACGAGATATTTTCAAGTCAAATGAACGCTCAGTTATTACTCATAACAAAGAACACATCGAAATTATTTGTGTTATCCTTGATAATTACACATATGTCGGATTATATGTTTCGCCTAAATTTCCTACAAACAAAATGTGTGAATGCTTAAAAAATATAATTGATATTAATGGAAAAACCATACCATTTTTATTGGGGATTTCAATATAAATTTCTATAAAATCCCAAATATTTTTAATAAAATTAAAGAAGAAATGAAGTGTAAAATTATTTGTCAATGAAATTACAACAGGCTATGTTACTTGTATTGACAATGTCATAACCAACACTGATTTTAATGTAATTGTTTATAGAAGTTTAGTAAGTGACCATAGACCTTTGGTTTTAGTGATCAAAGGAATACAACCTTCTTCCCGATCTAATAGCGATGAAAGGATTGATAACCATTATTTATCACTACTAAAAGAAAAATTACGACTTTAAAAGGATTTAGATAAAACAAAATTTTAAAAATAATTATAAAAATTATCATTTCCGATTTACTAAAAAAAAAATATAATGTTTTTAACAAATTATATTTTTTCATAATTATTCTTTAATAATTTTTTTTCGTGAAAAAAATACTCACTTATTTATTAAATTCTCCTAGTTATTTATTTGAGGTATGTCAAATAAAATTTTAGTTTGAGAATTGAAAAAATTCTAGTTGAGAAGGTATTAATTTTACAATGATGTGTTTTTTTTATGTCTGATGCCACTTTTTCTCAACTATCACGGAACTGATTTCTTACAACGTTACGCCAAAATATCATAAATCGTTTCTAGTTGAAGACATTGCTCTCGAAAATTGAAAACAATTTTCCCGTTCCCTGCAAATGGAGGAAATTTCCTATAAAATTACATATTTTAAATACAGTAAATTTTTTTAAATTTTTTTTCTTAGAATTTTCATAAATTTTTGAAAATTGATGTACTAAAATAATTTTTTTTACAGACAAACCTTAGGTATTTCCTTTTTGTTTGACATAATTTTTTTGAAAATATGACCCTTCAATTGTCCATAGAAGGGATTCAAAATAGAAAGTTTTTCATAAACTATAATGTTTTCATTCTACTTAACTTTTGAAAGATCCACCGTGGAATCTGCAAGAATTACGGGCCTAACAACCCCGCGGATCCTAGTTATTTCAGTGGGGGTGGCAACACGTACTACTGCTCTTAGCCGGTCATGACTTTGGTTAGTTGGGACCGGTAGGCTTGGGCACACCTGCTTGCTAACAGCGAATAAGACCCCTAACCCAGCCATACCAAGTAAAAGGGTTGCTAACTTGGCACAGGGTAGTTAGCCGAATGGTAAAGTGACCATTGGAAACCTCTAAGGCACCTAGCGCACCATAAAGTATACAGCCTTATATCAGAATCGAGCTCTGCTGTAATGGACCTTTATTTCTCGACTACTTATGAGAACTATATGGATAAAAACATAGAAACACCACAAAATAACAAATTTGGGACGATCAGGGATCCTATGACAACCTGTAAAAACAAGATCGTGAACAGGCGACTCTTCGCAGAAGAATCGCTGAACTTGTAGGTCTCAATGAGAACAATGGGACACTTGGTGAACCATCTACTAACAAAGAGACAGCAACGTTAACAAATGAAGACCAGGAATCGCAAGATCAAATGGGAGCAGTAGCTGACAAAATCGAGGGTTTAAAACTTAGACCTGAGAAACTAAGCGGCAGTCAGAGGTGCAAGCTCAAGAGGAGCAGAGCAATAATGAAGGGATAGAAGAACTTACCAAAGGAGGGAGACAAAGGAACTGAAGCTCAAAAATTTGAAGACAAGGGGCTAGAACCTACATGTCAGAAAACTCATTGGATACCTACCTATAGGGACGTGGTAACCGATGACAAAAAAGTGGCTCTGGTCCTTGCAGGCTACCCCACTAACAAGTTGACCACAGAGCAGGGGTTACTCATTGAGTCTTGTGTTGGATACTTGATACTGTTGGGTACTGATGGAATCGACGTACAAAGGCTTGAAGACATCAGACTCACTGATGGAGCAATTGTGATCAGTGCACCCCAAAAGAGCTCTCTTTAGTGGCTAACTGGTCATGTCAATCTGATAAAACCTTGGAACGGTGCAGAACTCCAATTGAATAGCTTTTTTAGAATATTTCATCTTCCATTCTATAGTTCAATGATGTTTCCTCGACTGTTGCCAAAGATCAGACATAATCGAGTTCATAAGTTAAAAAGTTAACATTAAGCTAAACTTTTTAGCTAAATGGAAATATTTTAATTTTACGTTATCTTAATTTATCATTAATTCATTAAATGACTAAAAAAAAAACTTTTGAAATTTTTCAAAATAATACCTCTATTTTATTAAAATTCTAATTACAATTAGAAAATTTCTTTTAAAATTAGCTCGACAAATTTTCGAAAAATTATACTTACTACGCCATATCTGTATAGTGTTTAGTCTCTGTTGTGATAAGTCTATAATAGTGTCTGGGAATTTACCCACCGCTGCTATAACTAAGTCATCCACATAGGATTATTTATAACAGTATTTGTTTAACTCTTTAATAAGCGAATCCAATACTAGACATCAAAGCAAAGGAGATAGAACTCCGCCATATGGGGACCCATGTTTAATACTCTTGATTACTTTGGTCTTATTGAGCTGTCTCAAAATTAAGCGTTCCCTAAGCATGAATTTTATCCACTTAGTAATTAGTGTTTCTATTCCATGCTGTTGTGCATATTCACACTATGTGAATCTGGTGGGAATCTATGGTGGGATGGGTGGGTGAAACGGTGAGAGCCCAAAATTTCCATTTTTACCCTACTCATACATTTTTACAAAGTGATAGCAGCTTTAAGTAAAAAAGTTTAAATAAATGTTGAAAATTATCGATTTTTAAAATTGTAATTTATTGAGGATTTCCACATTTACGAGGATTGAAGAAAAATTTTCAATATTTGAGAATAATTTCCTTGATTAAATACGATTTGTGATCTTTTAACGTATCAATGAAAGAAATTGCTCCTGTGAGAGCTGAGAAAAAGTGGTAAGAAACACAAAATAAAAAACACATTATCGTAAAATTAATACATTTATATATATATATATATTATATAAATAAATTATAAAAATTTAAATAATAGTTACACTAATTATGTTTTAATTAAATAAAATTATAAATTTTTACATGAATTATCATTATAATTAATTTCTTCGTCTTTTATTGAATTTTACTATATTATTGTAATACTTCAGTATCCCTTTATTTTGACTGTTTTTTAAAATTTGTTCCTCTAAATATGTATTATCATTCATTAATTATTTTTGTTGATTTAATTCATCAGTTCATTTATTGAATCAATATTAAATGTACTTAAATATTTTTACACTATCAAAGCGTCTGCAAGTATTTGTTAAGAGAGAGGCATAGTATTGTTTTTTTTTTGGTTTCACTCTCTAGTTAATTAGGATCGGTGAAAGCAGGAGTTATCAAGGACTTGCAGGGGGTTTAAAAGAAAATTTGATTCTACATATATAAAATTTTAATTTCATATCTACATTATAAATAAAACTAATAATGGTGTCCACACTTTCCTGACCAATCTGGGATTATTAACCAATTTTCAATAATGACACGTTTTCTTTCAAATGTTACCTTTCAATAATTAGTTTGATTAATTATTGAAACTTTTATGAAAACTGATTAAACTGATTAGTGATTCATTTTTTTAAAATATTTTGAACACTTAAAATATATTGTATAATATATAAAAAAATAATTATTTCTTACTTAAATATTTGTAATTTTTTATAATTTTATTACATTTGGGGCAATGATTTGTCACAAATATGTTATCTAATGCATAATAACCACAAGTACTTCCTATACGGTGATTACAAGGCTTTAGAACAATATATGTAACCTCAGATTTACACAAGCACGCCTCTCCATCGACTAAAATTTAAAATCACATTTATTAATGTTTAAAATGAGTTGTAGTATATAGCTGAGGAAGTATTAAAATACGTCACTATTAGTATAATATAAGTATTACCACAGTAGTAAGCAATTTTTAAATTTTTAAGCAACATGTTCATAAAGGGTAAGTGCAGGGTAAGGAAATTAATAATGATGGCAAAAAGAATATATAAAAGGAAACATGAAAAGTATAGGGGGATTGACGTTTTGACAAAAAAAGGTCGAGTTACGGGTCAAGACGTTTGGTGCGAGTAACTTTGTATTTTGTACGTCTTAATTTATTTTATGTTACATTTTGACTTTGTACTTATTACGTTATGTGATATAAAACAACTATTTATAAACCTGCGCTTAGCATCAATACTTTATATCTACCGTGCTGTTAAAATTGTGTTTGTGTGTGCGGGGCAAAAGTCGAAGTTGGACTGGAGAATCGATCTGAATAATAAGTTTGTGTTCTGGCTAGTTTTTGGGTTTAACCGTCCTTTAGTAGTAAAAATTTTATTTAAAATAAACTAATTGATCTATTTTATCTTAAAAGTTCAATTTATTTTATAGTTTTTCAATTTAAAGGACATAAATCGACCACATTCATATTTGCTTAATGATTAATAATATTCATCTCAGTTAAAAAATTTTTTAGATNACACACACGTTCAGATACATTCCGAACACATCGAACCACACCTGGCAACACAAATTGTCAGCTTTTAATAGTATGGTTTACAGATTAATTAATATTCCGATGAATAAAATAGATTATGATAAAGAATTGGTGGTTATAAAAGAAATAGCTAAATTTAATGGGTATAACGAAAACATAATTTTGAAATTAGTCCGAAAACAAAAGTGGAAAAAAGAAAGGAGGGCAGCTAGTACACTCTCCAGCGAGGGGGAACAAAAAGTAATTAGATCACCAATTTTATATTATCCGGGCATCTCAAATGGATTAACTAAAATATTTAAGAATTTTGGTATTACTTTGGTGACATCTAAGAGTAATAATTTGAGAGATTTATGAGGTTTTACCCTAAAGATAAGGTAGATGAAGGAGGGAAATCAGGCATTTATAAAATAAANGGGGGGAAATCAGGCATTTATAAAATACAATGTGAAAGTTGTAATAAATGTTACGTAGGACAAACAAAAAGAAATATAGGTGTCAGGTTTAAAGAGCACTTAAGAAATATTAAAAATCAAGAAGTTGAGAAATCTCCAGTGGCTGAACATTTATTAACACGTAATCACTCCATTAAAACCATAAAATTNATTGACACATAATCACTCTATTAAAACCATAAAACTAATTAAAAACGTAAATAATTACAAAGAACTTAATATCAGAGAAGCAATAGAAATGTTTAAAAATAAAAACAATTTAATTAATTGAGATCTTGGCCCACTGAAAAATTCATTATTAAACTTGTGTAAACTGGCAAAATGTGATAATATTACTTAGTGATTACGTCATTGGGTGATAAGGTCACTAGGGGTATATAAGAGAGTTTTTTCTAGTCGGGGGGTCAGTACGTGTTTAGCGTTGATAATGGTAACATTGTTTCCGAAATACGTATCCGCGACTTTTCATTAATTTTTTGTGGCTTTTAGTTTAATATTTTTAATATTTTTTAGTTTTTTATATTAATAATATTTTTAATATAGTTTTAATTTTACTTAATTAATTAGCCACAAGTGATCAATTTTTATTATACAGTTTCATACTACGTTGAATTGTTGTAATAGATATTTTTTCATAAATTATACTTATAATGCAACTAATAATTAGGAATAATGATAGATATAGGAGTTAATTTTGCTTTAAGAATAATCAAGCAATTTCTAAAAATTAAAGATTATCTACAGATTGGCATCGAAGCGTTTTCTGATAGTGATTTTAATCACTGTCAGATATCAACCATACCCACGGCTCGCCGTGCTGGGGGTGGAGATCCCGCTTAAGGACTCCATGACTTATCTGGGCCTTGTCATAGACAAACGTCTAAAGTTCGGGCCGCACATTACTCGTGCGGCCCAACGGGCCCAGAAAGTCATGAATTGCCTGGCGGGAATCATGCCCAATCTGGGAGGGCCGAGAGAGATGCGGCGCAGACTTTTAGTCAGCGTCGTACACTCGGTCCTCCTGTACGGGTCCCCGGTTTGGGCGGATACTCTTGAGTATTCGTCCAAAAACCGTGAAGCCCTGCTCAGGGTGCAGAGGCGGGCGGCGATCCGGACTGTTTCGGCGTACCGAACGGTGTCCGGAGTGGCGGCGGGTATCCTGTCGTCACTGCCGCCCGCCGACCTGCTCGCCGAGGAACGCGCCGCCGGGCATGAGCTCCGCCGAGAGCGAAACCGGTCCCTCGAACCCGAGGACCGGCTAGCGCTCAGGCGGATGACCATGTTCCGGTGGCGGACTCGCCTCTCGGAGGAAACGAGAGGCGAGTGGACCAGGTCCCTCATAGGACCCGATCGGCTGGACAGGTGGGTGGACCGGACTCACGGTGAGATGACTTATCGTCTCACCCAAGTGATGTCCGGCCACGGCTGCTTTAACGAGTACTTACATCGTATTCTTAAAGCAGCCGTGCCGACGTGTGACCATTGTTCTGATCGCCCGGGAGAGGCTGATAGCGCTTTGCACACCCTTTTCCTGTGCGAGGCGTCGGCCCAGGAACGGGACTCTTTGGAGTCTCGACTAGGGTCTATATTGAGGACCCGGGAGACGTGGAGGCTCGTCCAGGCGTTCGCCGAATCCATCTTGAAAAAGAAGGAGGAAGCTGAACGCCTGAGACAAAGGCAGCCGCGCCGCCCAGTACAGGAGGACCTAAGGCGCTGGTTAAGGCCGGTGCCTTATGTATTCGTGCTTTATGTTTTTGTTTCGTGAGTTATTTGTGCCCCCTTCGCAAAGTCCTGCCCCCACCTCCACGTGGTGCAACCCGGGCAACGCATCCCACTCTGGGATCCGGTTAATGGGGGAGGCCACACCACGTTGTGAATCAGCCCGAAATTAATCAAGAGCTGATTCACAACATGGTGGTGTGAGTTTTAAAGACGGCGTGGGCCGTCCTGAAGTAATACCTAACGGTAGTTCTAGGGCGGTCCACAACCGAGCCGGTCGGAGGAAAAAAAAAAAAGAAATCAACTATACTGGATCCAACTATGCCACGTTCCCAGTATGCCGTGATTTAACTGTGCTTGGTTTTTTATTTTACTGATTTAATTTTAGTAATTCAGTATAAAAACGAATTTTATACATCAATTAAGGGGCACACTTAGTGTGAAATTTTCAAAAAATCGATTTTTTTTTTCCCCCATATTTTGATAGGTTATACCTTTAAAAATAACATACTAAAATTTTAAATCGATATCTTAAATAGTTTTTGAGTTACAGACATTTAAAAGAGTAGCCGCTCGGCAGTTAGATAGTTGCATTGGCTACGGGATATACCTGAAGTAAGTTTAAGCACGATTACCTCCCAATGGATCCAGAAGTTGAAAAAGGTCTAAAGCCTATTTATGAAGATTTATCTCGGCATGAATTGCTTGATAGATGCAAAGGTAGTAATACTCAAAATAATAATGAAAGTTACAACGGTTTACTTTGGCACTTTTCACCAAAGCACCTTCATAATGGATTGAAAACTATTGAATTAGCAAATTTTTTTGCAACTTCAATATTCAATGACGGTTACTCCTCAATTTTAAAGATATTTAATGCAATGGGAGTAAAAGTTGGACCTGCAGCAAGAGATTATACGGCTCTTAAGAACGAGACGAGACTACGAATCGCTGATCATCGCCAACGGGCTTGTTCAAAAGAGGAGATAAGTATTAACCTTTCGTTGCCCTTTTATTCTGTATTCACATATATCAAACATGCTTCTGTAGGCATACATACCCTGAGATCCTTGCACTTTTATTTTATTATTGTCGATAACCATTTACCAACCATTCCCAAGATAACACTACAAACCTCATTCCTTCTTACTTTTGGTTATTACAATTTTTCCCAAATTCATTATGCCCCAGCTAAACCCCCAACCTGACCTTTTATAAGATATAAATAATAACGAATCAACAATATGTTTTTGTTTTCTGTTTAGTTGTTTTTTATTAAGTTTGAAGTTATGTATTATTTGTCGTTATTAAATCGAGAATGAAAAGTATGAATATTCAAAATATATATACAGAGTGATTTTTTTATTATAACCCACTCAATTACTTACAGAATAAATATAATTTTAACATTTTTTTTTTTTTGGTTTTCTTTAGTTACAAATTGTTCTTGAGTTATTAACTATGCAATACATTTTAAGTTCATCCTTTAAGCCTTGTAAGGGTATCAACTTTCTTTCTTTAAATGAAAACACATATTTTGAATTTAATAAAATGTTTGAGCTTTTAAATTAATAGTAAATGAACTTTGATTTTTTAATATAACTTTATTAGTTTATTAGATATAAACATTTAAAGTTTCAAATTTTAGAGTTAATATACTTGTATAATACACAAGGGATTACAAATAAAAGTCGCCAATTGGTTTTTTATGACGTTGCTGTCGCAGTCATGGAAGTTTGTCAATTATGACTATCAATATATATAATTTCTGTATTGCCAGTTTGTGTATTTATAAACTCATAAAAATTCGCTTTATTAAAATTGATAATAAATGCTGTGCACCTGCGAATATCGATGTCATTTTATTAAATTCAAAATATGTGTTTCCATTTAAAAAAACAAAGATGACACCCTTTAAAAATTATTACATAGTTAATAACTCAAGAACAATTTGTAACTAAAAAAAATCAAAAAAAAAAAAAAAAAGTGTTTAAATTATATTTATTTTGTAAGTAATTGAGTGGATTATGATAAAAAAATTACTCTGTCATGTAGCAATCAATACAAATTTCATTGTAACTTGAAAAGATTGCTTATAATCATTTCAATTCAATGAAAGCAAATTATAAGCAATAAATGTAATTTAAAAATTATATCGCAATTTAATTACCAATAGGAAATATTTTATTCATACCTATAGAAATATCGGGTGTTTCCACTGAAAAAATAACAAATATAAATAACAGAAATCTGTGCATAAAATTTTTTTACATAATTTAAAAAACCAATAATAAAATGATTGTATTTTATGACAAACACAATTTTAACAACTATCTAATATTTTTTTTAAAGTGTGATAAATTAATACTAAAGAGCTCTAATGATTGCATACATAATAATACTATTGGTTTCATTTCAACTATACGCAAACATCCAAGCGATAATATTTTTCATGGAAAATTTCAATACATAAAAACAATATTTGGAGTAAAATGACAGCGTACTCTTCTGTCTTTTTCTTCATTACATAGACCAACGCTTTATATCGTAAATTAACACGTACAAATTTAAATGTCCTAAAATTGTTAAATTCAGTAAAAATTTAACTACTGTGCATTAATAAAATATTTTTTCAAATTTTTTATCAAATTAAAAAAAAAATGGTTTTATTAAAATAAAAATATATAAATTATGATAAAATTAGGATCCAAAAGTATTTTAATTATTAATATATACAGAGCGGCCCACCACTCACTGACAACTTAAATAACTTTTGATCCAGTTAATATTTTTAGCTGTTTTTTTTTTTAAATAATAGTTATACGTTAGGTCCATAGCTATATCTCAATAATTAATTTTTTTACATTTTATTAAAAATATTAATTATTTTTAAATTTTAAATAAAATGTAAAAAAAAAATCTAAGATAGCTATTTTGTAGAGTAGAATTTAAGAAAAATTTTAGTAAAAAAATATCTTATTAATATTCAGTAGTAAATATTCTGTAGCGTTTTGAAGTTTGTGAAAATTTGAATTTTCATGTA